CTTTAAACATGAACTTTCACTGAAAACAAATCTATATTCTTGCCAACAGTCAGGCAGCAAGAATAGGAGTGCATGGACCTACACTCGACCTACCCTGTGGTATCTACTGCAACGCATGCCTACCAACTCTCGAAGAAAGGACACCAGAACACCTGTTGTGTCCATGTCCGGGGTTGATCAGAACTAGACTTCGGTTTTTGGGGGCCGGATTCTTTAACACACTCGGCTATATCTTCAGTATTGGCATTGGCTTTTATAAATGCTTCTGGCTGGTTTTAATTCGACCTTCTTTGTTCCTCCCTCTACTTCAACCAACTAACTAACTTTCTCATTGTGTAGTCTTTGCATTGTCACCTGATAGGCAGTCTTTGGAAAGTATCGTTATGAAACTTCGTTTTAATGTTGTACTAAAAACCGTTATAAATTTACACGCCTCTTTCAGTGGTATAAAGAGCTTTTATGACAAAGGTTTCTGCTTCCATTGTGTTATATCCAAATCTATGTACCAAAGTGGTGATATCGAATACTACCACTAAGGACCGTAATAGCTGATGCGAACTTCGTTTTGAAGCATACCACACCTGGTGCTTGATATAACTGGCCTTAAAAAATTATATTAATAATTACATATTATCTATATAATTTATTATTATTATATTATATTGATATTTTATTCTTGATCCATCCATGATGATGGATCATCCATGATTTTTAATAGTAGCAGAAGTAGATTTATTAGGCAAAATCAAATACCTTTTGTGCTTTTTCCTAGTTCAAGACTTAAAGATTTGTCCAATATTTTGCATTGTGGTGAATTAAAGCTTTTTATAATTCAGATGTTTAATAAACATATTCTGGAGCTGTGATATTACGGCTACAATTTCCATCGAAAAGATCGATTTAAAGTTTTATTGATATATTGCCTTGCAGTTATTTAAAACCTTTGCAAGAATGGATATATTGTTATAACAGGTTTTATCAATAAAAAACTTTGCTATTTGCCATTGTTTCCTTGTTTTCTTACTAAAGCAGTGACAAACTAATGAAGTACGAAAAAGTCTCAATTCATTAATAAAAATTTTAATTAGACAACACTTCATCAATTATATTTATGAATAATTCTGATGTGGCAACTCCCCACGTCACAATTTATGACGTTCCTTCGTCGTAATTTTGACGATTGAAACATTTGTTTTTGGGGTTTTTACATTTCTTAAGGTACAGTTAACGTTGTTGCCATAGCAACTCTTAATGTTCCAATATAAATCATTCCTTCGTCTTCATTTTGACAATTATACCATTCGTTTTTAGTGACTCAGGCTTAACGAAGATAAAAAAATCCACTGCTTCAATCAAACGCAAATATATATCAGTTAATTTAAAATATTAATAGTAAAACGGTTCAGATTTTATATATAGAAACTATGGATTTATTTTTTAACAACCAATGTAACTACAACGGTTGTGGTGAAAAGTTCGGTAGTCTGGCTGAATTGATTCAGCATGTAGAGCGTGTCCATATTGTAATGGATGACAGTAAAGAAGTCTCTGGAAGTGAAAGCATGGTACCCAAAATCAAAATATTGCCTAGCAATGTCCATGATGTGATTATGCGTAAGTGTACTGCTTTTCGTTTTTAATCTACTTTGAAATTTACATTTTTCTCTGATTTCATCTATAGGTTCTCCGGTTCATCGAATCAATCATGGATCACGCCGTCACCCATCAGTATCTCCACTAAACAACATTAATTGTGAACGTCCAATTCAGATGATGAATGCAACTGGTGCTGCATCCTCATTGCAGTCCATGTTGGCTAATGCTGATTCTGGTACTAGAGCAAGTGCTCCAACAACTTTTGTTAATCAAAGTAATTGTGAGCCTCCAATTCAGTTGTTGAGTGGAATTGGAAGTGATGGTTCTGCTTCGTCATTGCAGTTCGTGTTAGCACCTACTATTGTTATCAGTAGCGCAAATGCACCGTTTCAGGTACCAATGGCTTTCCCAAAAAGCAACAATTGCGTACCACCGTCTCAGTCTGCCGTTGCACAAGCAAAGCGCGGAGCAATTCCCAAAGCACGAATACAGTCAATGGGATTAGGTGGTAATCGTGATGCTGAATCATTTGAGAAGGATAACATTCCATCATCATCATCGGCGGTAAAGCGGAAAAATAACAGTTCTAAAATCTCATTCTCAAAGAAAAGAATCTCATCTATTAACCGTAATGTTGAGCCATCCATGGCAAAGTCAAATGATGTTCCAACACAACCAACCTCTATATCATCTCCTCCAAAACTTAACGAAAGTACCCATATTGCCTTAAGTGGTTTGACCCCGAAAGACATTGTCCAAAACTCGGTTCTAAGGGCAGATCACTCGCAATTAAAGCCATTTCCTTGTCCCATTCGTGGTTGCATAAAAAGGTATAAAACTTTGAACGGAATTAAGTATCACTCAGAATCTTATGAAAGGGAGTTGAAAAAAATTCGGTTGAGTATAAATCGGATTAATAACTACGGCTTGCAACAAACAACAACACCTTGGAGAGATCTCGAAGAAAAAATGGAACATGTAAAAATGTTTTTTTAGTTGACTTACGTTTGCGTTATTATGTATTATATATATAATAAGATATTGTAATATTGTTCAACTGAAGCTATGTTCGTTTAAGTAATTTTTCCTTCATTTTTTGAAAGTAATGTATATAAATAAATAGATTTTTTAAATAAAATTCAGTGAGCATTTGTATTTACAAATAAAAACTGATGCGATCAGATATTATGTATGGATTCTTTTTAATAGTGTTTGTCCGATAAAGGCTTGAAACTTATATGAAATATTAGTATCAGTCAATAAGTTTGTGTGATTTTGTTGAAAAACTTTGTAGGCAGTTTATGGATGATAACAGACAATGGATGATAGCACTATTACGATGCCTGATAGAAGAAAATTCTAATGAGGTAATTAATGTACCAGAACCAAATTCAGAAAAATGTCAGTTTTGAGTTACATAAAGTTTTCCCCAAAATTAATCGCACATTTTTCAAAAATACCAAAATTGAACCCACGTGAAAACATTTTTAAAAAACCCCTTCGTAATTGTTAGAAGTGATCAATGGATTGTAGGAAGTAGGGAGTTAATAAAACGAATGTTATCATCAATGGCTTTAATAAAAAATAAAAACAAAGAAACAAGTGCCTCCAGTTCAGTTGTTTAAGTAGTAGAACAGGTTTGATTGTCGTAGCACTCAGCATAGTTGCCTTAATCACTTAACCCTTTATTAGTCCGTTGTGAAATTACTTCTTAATACGGAACCTTTACCGTTTTTACTTATGAAATCATTTCAAAAAAGCTAAAAGCATAATTGCTTAGTAAACTTCCATTAGTGAATTTCGATCCATTAGCTCAAACATTAAACATGTGCAGTTATTTGCTTAACATCTGCTGATCTCTTCAGTTTAAGTGATATACTCCTATAAGGATAAGATTTACCACTCTTTCGTCTTAGTCTATGAAATTTGGAAGAATTTTGTTTTTTTACTTATTATTATAATTGTTATTATTATAACAATAGTTATATTTTCCAGGTCTTTTGCTTAATTTTAGTAATGGTTTTTAAATTTTTTTTTATCCATTTTGTCTTATGCATTCGTCTTGTCTATTTTTTTTTTTTGGTGCTGTTAGCTTGCAGAAAGATACATATTATATTATGTTTTGTACGTGTCATTGCACGCTTTCGCTTTCAAAATATAAATAGAAAGTAAAGAATTATATGAAATAAGAGAAGATAGTTTAACTTCACTTAGATTGTGATATATTTTGGTATAGACCGAAATGCGATAATTTTATTAAAAAATAATGCCTCTGCAAACAGAAAAAAATATAAAATATAATTAATTAATTGAATTACTCTAAAGCTGGTTTATGATTTCGTTCTAATATAAATACATCAAGTGAATTTGTTAATAAAACGCAATCACAGCAAATTAACAAACAAAAGTTAAGAAAAATGTGGGAACATAAAAGAAAAGTACGGCTTTGGATCAATTGGTTAAGGAGCGCTGACTCTGAGCTACAAATTTGGCAGGACACGAGTTCGATTCCTGGTACTTGCAGTCTCAAAAAATTATTTATGAATATTTAAATATAAGAAATAATTCGAAGACCACTAATGATGGGTATTTGGAAATACTCGAAACAGCTGTATGGTCAGCCAAAAATTTAATTAATTAAAACAATATAAAAATGAATTTTTGTTGTTGTACTTCAGGTTATTTAGGTTATGAATGCCATAGAGAATTGGAAATTATTTTCCAGTCTCTATCACAGATTAGGTAGCTTAAAAAAATGTACTACTACTCATATTCTTCCAGGAAAGAATTGGTTAGCGCTTTTACAGGGACCTGTACTGTTCCCAAAGAAAATTCGTAAAGAAAGCAATCAAAAAACAACATGTTCACACTTGAGAACTGTCTAGCCAAAACGGGATATAAAATATCATACTCTTCTTTTAATGCTTAAGAATAAAATATCAATCCTTATATGCGAGATAATATCACCGGATATTATCTCGCATGTCGACACACCTCAAGAATAGGTGATAGACTATTGGAGAAACTCCGGCGATGAAAAAAAACAAAAACACATATAAAACTGTCTAGACTATTACAAAAAAATTATTTCTGCTTAAGATTTTTACAAAATGTACATATCAATTATGTTTAAGTAATGCGGAAAAATTTTCATATCCATTCTATTACTATTTTGATAAGCCTTGATTTAAAAGTCGAGATACTGGAGATAAAAAAAATGGCTAAGAGATCTGAACTTTCTTAATTTAAAATTCGTTAAAACTAATTATCTCACCTTCTCTGCAAAAATAAAGAAATTGCACTAATTTAAAGTTCCAAGTTTGAAGTTATTATCCAGGAGTTGATGTATAACGCTGTGACTTTCTTACTTCAGAATACTAAGTTATTATTCTAAAGATGATGTATGAGAACATAATTTCTGCAATTTCATATTATAATGCATTATTCAATAACTGACGATATAGCTATCGTAGTTTCAAGTAATAAATTATTATTATTATTATTTTTATAAGGGATCGTGCACTACGACCAAAAAGATCTATTGTGCCCCTTACTCGGTTTAGAGTGTTTTTCCAAGTCCGATTTCTTTAATGAAAGACAGTATAAGGCCTATCTTTCCTTGAATCCTTGTGATCCATGAAATACCATCCTTGGTGTTTATTCCGCTTGTTCATTAGTGACGGGCACTCCCGTAGAGCACATGGTATGCTCTCTGTTCTCTACAGTATCTGCAGTCTGAGTTAGATTAAATTCCTGACTTCGATAGGTGATTATTCAATCTACAGTGACCGGTCAATAATCCCGTAACAATTCTTAGAAGTAATAAGTCATTAGTTAGAAATTTATGTATGACTTCATCTCTTTCAAAGCTTCATATAATAAGTTATTAATAAGTAGAAGATGTACCTTCTCTCGTTCCAAGTAATAAGTAAGTTATTATGCAAGAGTTGATGTATGACGCTGTGGCTTCCCTACTTCAAAGTAATTAGTTGTTATTTAAAACGTGATGTATAACTACACATTTTCCCCAGTTTTAAGTTATTAACCAGGAGTTGATGTATGACTCTCGGACTTCTCTAGTTGAGAGTTACAATGTATTTTTGAGAAGAAGTCAATCTTCTTTGAGTATTTTCTTGTTGCGGTATTTACTGCCAATGGCACCGATAGAAATGAATTGAATTTGCAGCACCATAACGCGAAAACTAAATAATAACAACGTTTCAAGTAACAAGTGGGATAGGCGCTAATTGAGAGAAACAATGTTTGCGTGACTGTCAAAAAACAGTGTTGCCCAACTGTTGCAAAAAATATTTATGAAGCACCTGTGAAGCTTTGCAGCAAATGTTGACTTTGTATTGTTTTAAGCTTTTTTTTCATGAGTTTGTTTACAACAATTGTTTAGAAAAACGCACCCAACATTAAAATGAAAATATTAATAAAAATTCAAAATAAAAAAAAGTATAAAAATTAAAAAAAAAAATACAGAAAAATTACAGAAAAAAACCGGTAGAACTTAGGAGCGCAGCGCCGCTTACTCATTAGCCCAACGGCTTCAGTGTGTACCGTCAACGCCAACAACAGCTGTTGACTTGTTGTTATTATAAATGTTTTGGTTGTTGATGCTGTGATTGTTGCTGAAGCTGTTGTTGCTGCTGTTGTTGTTTTTGTTGTTGTTAAAGTCTTCTTTAGCAAAGTCTAAGCGAGCATATTTCAGTCTTCGGTAGAAACTCAAACACAGTCTTCTGTAGACTAGCAATGGAAGCGCTTAAACGTTTAGGCCGAAATCGTGTGACGCGTTTAAATGAATTTGGCCTCACCAAAGGTTAGCATTATTAACGCCGTAGTCCTGGCGAAGTGAATTTGTTGACTTGTGTATCTAAGTGTTTATATCCTTTTTGACCAAATTTTTTTTTCTTTACGTTTAAATAAATTTCAGCAACAAATCGTCGTAACTATGCACATTTACACACTTTAATCGGTTTTGTGCTCGGTTTTTTGATGGCATTTGCCACTTTACTGTTCTATGACCGCCAGTTGCTATCATGCGAACAAATCGAGCATCACAGCATTTCCACAGAACATTTTTATGATTATTTTGTGAGCAGCGGCTTTGCCGTGAGCAGTAGTAGTAGTGGCGGTAGCAGTGGCAGTGAAAATCTCATCCGTGACAATGAATTTTTAATCACTTCAACACAGTCAACACAAGGTTCAGCAAGTACAGCAGCATCCGGTAGTGAAAATGTTATGGATTTTACTGAAATAGACCTGCATCAACATTTAGAGAGCGAGGTGCGCGTGCTGTGTATGGTGCTGACCTGCCCTAAGTACCACAGCAGCCGGGCGGCACATGTGAAGGCTACTTGGGGTCAACGTTGCACGAAACTAATATTCGTAAGTAGTGTTCCTGATGAGGAATTGGGTGTAGTGAATGTCATCGATGAAGAAGCGGATACTTATCATGATTTATGGAACAAAACGCGTGAAGGATTTCGTTATGTACACGAGCATTTTTTAGATGATTATGACTGGTTCCTAAAAGCGGATGACGATACGTGAGTGAGTTGAAAATTAAATGCTTTGTTATGTTATATAGATTATGGTTTTCTAATAGAAAATTAGGTTCTTATATATCAAGTGAGTTAGAATACGATATATAATAGCAACAGATGTGTAGAACGATTAAAATATAATGTCTTTTGATATGTTTAATAATCAAAATTCTATAATAATAAGTTTATTATTAAATATAGTTTTTTATTTCAAGTGAGTAAGAATAGGTTGTCTTAGAATAAATGTGCAGAGTGAACAGAATATATTGGTAGTGCAAAAAAAGTGAATATTACAAAATGAGTGATTAGTTTGCATACGATACTTGTTGTATTGAAATTATGAATAATACAAAAAAATAATATATTGTTTAGAGTGTATAAATATATTATATTTAATCCTTTAATTCATAGGATCGCAACAAATATCTTCCACTCGGTACGATTAGTAGCCAATGGCTTCAACTCTCCCCAGCTTTTCCGCATGTGTAACATTACTATGTCGATTTGCCTTCTCTAGGTGTGAGCAGGTCTGCCCCTTCTTCCGCTATCCATCGGGTTCCACTCAATCGCCATTTTTATGTTGTCACCAATCGGTCTACCCAAAGTGTGGCCGACCCATTCTCATTTGCGTTTTATGATTTCGTTTCTTATAGGAGTTTGTTGAGTTAAAGACCACAGACGTTCATTTGAAATTGTATTTGGCCAGAATTCTTTACCGATTATGCGTAATGATTAAGTTATAAAAACTTGTAGTGCATTGTCGCTGTTTGCCGCTGTAAAAATATAATTAACTTATAAGAATTCGAAAAACATCACAATTCAATCTGTCAATATTAATAAATCTTATCACATAAATGTTGACCATATTCATTTATATGACTAATATTTATCATTTTAATATTAATATGAATATAAAGCGTCTGAATTAAACTTAAAATATTCATAATGCTGTACCTTTTTATTTGATATAGAATTTTATTAAACTAAGAAAAAAAGAAATACTAGGTCTACATGGAGTTCGACATATAGATTCACTTTTTAAACTAAACTAACTAAACAAAAGAATTTTTTTTTTATTTTCGATTTTATATTATGGCCGACCATATTGATAGCAAGTTGCAGAAATAAGAATCTACAGATCCATATTCATTCAGAAAGAAAGCATTTTTTAACACATTAACATTCTGCTTTTTTTTTTATTGATAATCTATCCTAACCTATCCACGTGCAGATGTCTCGTAACTACTAGAAGTCACTGCACAGTCTGTATGGCATATAGAATGTTGTCTCTTAACCATCATCTATTAGCGCATGCCTTATGTGATAGTATAGATCTATGTTAAACTGCATATTCGTAACAAAATTCAGTAAAATCCCTTATCTCGTGAATATCAACATTTTCTTAGGACCTCTCTACTATCTGTTAACTAAACTTACTGACTTCATTTGTTAATAAATAACTCAATTAAAAGTAATTGGCATCATTCGAACATAACGTTTTGTTTGACCATCAATGACATCTAATACTTTTTGGAAGGCTTAAAACCTTCATTTTGAGTTCCCAGTTGTATATACATTGCATGCTTGTTTTTATTGGAGTTATATAAAATAGAATATATCTACATTCTATGTTGCCATAATCGCGTTTTCTACAAATTCGATTTTCTATTGGTGTGGGATCAATTATTTTCAATTCAATATTATTTTCAATATTCAATCAATTCAATATTCTTCCTTTAAACGATCGTAGTTCGTTTATATGTGCGCCTCTAACTAACCATATTAGGGTAGAATTATATTGGGTTGTTTTATGTTCGTTTTATGTCATCATAAGATATTTGTGACTTAATACCATATCATACTAAAAGTTCTCAATTAAAAACATTTTTGTTAATACCAATATTATTTGACCATTGACCATATTAACATTGGCTTTTCCTAGTATATTTCAATTTAAAAAGTTTTCGCTGCTCTACATAGATCTCTTTGTGCTGCTTGTTCGAGAATGAATATGACAAAATATATATTAGACACAGAAATAGATTATATAGAACATCAATTTACATCTACTAATAGTGTATAAGATCTCCGTTATTATTTAAATAAGATCTATTAATTGTTTTTTATTATTAATTAGTTTTTATAATTGCTCTTCCATCGATATCACTAACTATATCATAAAGCACCAAATTAAATGTTAAGGCAGAGGAGCCATCATCTTATGCCTGATAGGATATAGAATGGTTTAAATAGTGTGAATGGTATAATTCCTAACTGTTTACAATCAATTCTCAATTTAATCGAATGGGTGATGTAATCCCTTTCTATTTGATAAGAATACAATTCAATTTGTGACACTTTCCGAAGTGGTGTGTTGTCATAAATTCTCCTCGATTCAGAACTGTTCTATTTTGCTCAATATCTCATTGACAGTTTCTGTGAATTTCCTTCGAATATTATTTTGTATTACTTAATATTATATGTTTTCAATCAAGTAAATTAAGTAAATCTTTTTTCGTTTTCTTAAAAACTCGACTAATATTTTTTGAAGAACTGAATATTATCTCTGAAAGATCTATCACTTAAAATTTTCTAATGTTGCACACAAACAAGTAATGTGTATCATTACTAATTACTTTTTAAGATTCTGATCTGGTATTGTTACTAATTTATCGGTCTATACTTAGTCTATTTCAGTGAGATTTACCCACCTACATAAGTAGTGAATATACGTTTATTGATAATTACTGGCCTTTTGCTTACCATTTTTTTGGGTATGAGTATTATAAGACGACAAGCGGGACGTTCTTCCAGTAAAGTTCATACCTGCTATCTTTGTATTACTAAATATATAACAAATTCAATATATCTTTTTCCTACGAATTTGAACAACTCTTCTATTGTTGTTTATAGAACACCCTTCCTTTTTCAGCTTTTGATATTCTTTAAAAATTTTACCGCATGAAGACTCTTCTTAAGAGTTTACTACAGCATAAATAATCTCCACCATCAAGTCTTTAAAGATTCAGCATTCTCTTTTCATCATTGATTTGCAATAGTTTCAAATAGGAAACAGAAATCTGAACAAAGCATACATCAATAACCAGTCAATCTGTCAAATGTCATATGTCAAATAAAAAAGAATTGCCAGGCGTAACTAAACGTTTTAAAATTATGATAAAAAAAACTGAGTAAAAAAAAAACTGAAAACTGAAAAACACAAACATAAATTATTTTAATTTAAATTTGGTTTTTACAGTATTTTTTATCATTTACTGACTTTTACTACATTTACCAATCCATTTAAATTTCTAGAAGATTTTTTAAAAGAATGCTGCCACATTTTAAAATATTATTTTCTTTCAGTTATGTTATCATGGAAAATTTGCGATACATGCTCTATGCTTATAGCCCTGATATGCCCATTTACTTTGGCTACAAGCTCATCCGATACAAACTTGTAAGTATTTAAGTATTATCTAAGATTTGGTATGTTATTTTTTAGCTAGTATCTTAGCAAAAGAACAGCATTATACTGTTTTTAGAAATACTATGCATTATTGTCATCTCTTTCATCTACACCGTTGTTTTTCTTTATTTTTTTGGATTAGATTAAGTGTAGTTATCCTCAAAGTAGTAAAAGTACATTGTGCGAATCAGAATGTTTTATTAATTTCTAATCGTCTACAAAATACCAAAACACCAACCTAGTTCGCAGTAAATGTTATAGTCACATCCATAAAGTAGATTACATACAACTTCTTCTATTATAATAAT